ACCCAGTGATGTTTGTTGGGATTACTTGTGAATCGACTAAGTTTACTTATTGCACAAGCTATATCAGGACGTGTACAGTTCATGATATACATTAAGCTTCCCAATACACGAGCATACTCCAATTGAGACGTGCTTTCACCTTTATTCTTTATAAGATTATTGTTTAAGTCAATTGGAGTTCTTGCACTTCTAAATTCCAAATGTTTGAATTTTTCAAGTACCATTTTCACGTAATGTGATTCAGACAAAGCTAGACCCTAAGGAGTCCTCTGAATATTAATTCCTAGAATTACATCGGCAACTCCTAAGTCTTTCATATCAAACTTACTAGCAAGCATATGCTTAGTAGCTTGAATGTCGGCAATGTATTTGCTCATTATTAGCATATCATCAACATATAAGCAAACAATGACTATATGATTTGGAACGTTCTTAATGTAAACACACTTTTCACATTCATTAATCTTAAAGCCATTTGACAACATTGTTTGGTCAAATTTCGCATGCCAATGCTTGGGTGCTTGTTTTAGTCCATAAAGGGACTTAACAAGTCGACACACCTTCTTTTCTTTTTCCGGAACCACAAACCCTTCAGGTTGGTTCATGTAAATTTCTTCCTCTAGATCACCATTTAAGAAGACTGTTTTTACATCCATTTGATGGATTTGAAGACCATACAAGGCGGCTAATACTATTAGCATCCGAATGGATGTAATTCTTGTTACCGACGAGTATGTGTCAAAATAGTTAAGACCTTCTCGTTGTCTAAATCCTTTGACAACAAGTCTTGCCTTGTATTTGTCAATAGTACCATCGTCTTTCATTTTCTTCTTGAAAATCCATTTAGAACCCAATATTTTGTTACCTGGAGGAAGATCAACCAATTCCTAGGTATGGTTGCTCAATATAGATTCTATTTCACTATTAATAGCTTCTTTACAATATTGTGCTTCTGAGGAAAACATTGCTTCCTTGAAGGTACGAGGCTCATTTTCTAGCAGGAAAGTTAGAAAATCTGGACCAAATGAAGTAGATGTCCGTTGACGTTTACTTCTTCTCAGATTTTCCTCATTAGGCATACCATCTATTATATCCTCCCGAGGTCGTTTTGACTTTTGGTAGGTCAATTCACTTTCCTTTTTATATGGATAAATAGTTTCAAAGAATTCAGCATTATCTAATTCTATTATCGTATTATTGTGAATCTCAGGATTTTCTGATTTATGAACTAGAAAACGATATGCCTTGCTATTGGTTACATATCCAATAAATAAACAATCAATCGTTTTTGGACCTATCTTAACCCTTTTAGGTTTAGGAACTTGTACCTTAGCTAAACACCCCCACACTTTGAAGTATTTCAAGCTGGGCTTCCTTCCTTTCCATTTTTCATAAGGAATGAATTGTGTTTTACTATGAGGTACACGATTGATTATTCGGTTAGCTATAAGTATAGCTTCCCCCCACAAGTTCTGTGGTAAACCAGAACTTATCAACAATGCATTCATCATTTCTTTCAACGTTCGATTCTTTCTCTCCGCAATTCCATTAGATTGTGGAGAGTAAGGGGCAGTTGTTTGGTGAATAATGCCAATTTCCAAATATATTTCTTCAAAAGGAGGTTCATATTCGCCACCCCTATCACTTCACTCTTGTATTGCTTGAAAGCATCAATTGCCTCATTTTACTATAAAGTAGATAAACATAGCAATATCTCGTGCTATCGTCAATAAAAGTAATAAAATATTTTTTCTCACCGCGAGATGGTGTTGACTTCATGTCGCAAATATCTGTGTGAATTAAGTCTAAAGGAATTGAATTCCTTTCAACGGACTTATAAGGATGCTTAGCATACTTTGATTCCCCACATATTTGACATTTAGAATTAATGCAATCAAATTTTGGCAATACTTCTAAATTTATCATTTTTCGCAATGTTTTGAAGTTGACGTGACCGAAACGTGCATGCCATAAAGTGTTTGACTCAAGTAAGTAAGAAGAAGCATTAACTTTATTGATAGGAACTGCTATTACATTTAGCTTAAAAAGGCCCTCATTCAGGTAACCTTTTCCTACATACACATCATTCTTACTTAGTACAACACTATTAGAAACAAAAATACATTTGAATCCATTCTTGACAAGACGTGAGGTAGACACAAGATTCTTGCGAATTTCTGGAACATGGAGAACTTGGTTTAAAGTCACAATTTTTCCCGATGTCATCTTCAACGCAATCTTGCCAACTCCTTCAATTTTGGCTGTAGACGAATTTCCCATGAAAATTGTCTCGTCAGGTCCTGTGGGGGCATAGGAAGAAAATAACTCCTTGTTAGCACAAACATGGCGGGTGGCTCCAGAATCAATCCACCATTCATTAAGATTTCCTACCAAGTTGCATTCAGACAATATGGCACACAAGTCCTCCATTTCTTCAGCATTTTCAACCATGTTAGCTTGATTCTTCTTCTTCTTATCATTCTTTGGTGCACGACAATCCACGGCCTTATGCCTAGATTTTCCATAGTTGTGGAAATTACCCTTGAACTTTTTCTTGCTTGGGTAATTCTTTGGTCCAGAAGCCTTCTTTCTCTTCTTATTTTGTGGCGCCTCCTCAACAATGTTAGCCCTTATTATTGTCGAGTTTCCACGTGACTTCTTTTCAGCATTTTTGTTGTCTTCTTCTATCCTCAAACGAACAATCAAGTCTTCAAGTGTCATCTCCTTCCGCTTGTGTTTTAGATAGTTCTTAAAGTCCTTCCACAATGGAGGTAACTTCTCAATGAAAGCGGCGACTTGAAAGGCCTCATTTATGACCATACCTTCAGCAATAAATTCATAATTAATAACAAGATAAATCTTATTAATAAAATTATCAATTCGGGTCATACCTTCAGCAAGGAGGTCATGCACAATGACTTATAATTCTTGAACTTGAGTTATGACCGACCTAGTGTCAATCATCTTGAAATCCAAAAACCTTGCAGCCACGAACTTCTTAAGTCCGACATCCTCAGTCTTGTACTTCTTCTCAAGCGCATTCCATAACGCTTAGGAAGTTACCATAACACTATAGACATTGTACAAGCTATCTTCCAAACAACTTAAAATGTAGTTTTTGCACAAGAAATCAGAATGTTTCCATGCTTCAGTTACAACAAATCGTTCGTCATCCGGAGTGCCTTCAGCCAGGACCGGAGGATCCTCCTTGATGAATCGCTGCAAACTCAACTTAGTAAGATAGAAGAGCATCTTCATTTGCCAATGTTTGAAGTCAATACCGAAAAACTTTCCGGGTTTTTCTGCTGGTGCCATAACATGAGCAAGAGTTGAACGGCTTGACGAGGCAGCAACACTCGTAACAGTAGCACCCGTTCCAGCAACATTTCCATTAGTTTGGTTTTCATTCATCATGTTTCTGTAGAGTTGGAAACAAAACAGAACTTTGTTAAATCAGTGAAGTTTTGATATCTTCAAACTGAATACCAAACCAAACATACAACACGTAACAATGGTGAAGTTTTTATATACTTCAAACCCGTACGTTTATTATTCTGGAAAAGTTTTGTTATACTTTAAACCGGACAGAACAATTATTGGAGTAGAAAGCACGAAGGCTTTAGTCTCCAAACCAGTATACAAAATATAGATAACAGTTTAATATATATTTCAACGCAGAAACGTTAGAAAATTCCTTAAGCTTGTGAACGTTACTGTGTTAAAACACAAAATTAGAAAGACTGTAAGGAAAAAAACTGTAAAAACAGTAAACTATAAAAAAAATATTTCGAGTCTACAATTTGCTTGTGCGTCCTTAAAGAATTTTAACCCCCTCACACGTTGCCAAGGTAATGGATTAAATCCTCCCAGGATGAAACGGAATAAACCTTCCTGCAACCGTGGCAATACAAACTGCAAGATACCAACGAACTCAAAGAACGGAGCAAAATCACACTTACGAATTTAGAAGAGATTCTGCGGGAAAAAAATGCAGGATTTTCAGAAGGAAGTTCTATCTATCTTTTTCAGTGTATGGAAAAAGAATCCATGCCTCAGAATTTATAGGCAATTATCGGAAAATGTGTCTGTTCAGGAGGGAAATCAACATTCAGCAAAGGCAACTTAATTCCGTTAATGAACTGTGGCATTTAATTAGTTACTAAATAATTAATTAAATAAATTTTGTCCAAAAATAATCTTATCGATAGTTTGACAAAGCCGAAGCCGAGCCGAGCGAGCGACGACAACGACGCGAGAGTTCATTCTCTTCAACTCCTTTTAAGAGCTCTAAGAAGTGATCCTATATTTATACACACAAGTGTAATTGTCTTTCACCAATGTGGTACAAAGTTCATGACAAAACCTCACTTGATTCAAATTTTCGTTTCCCTCCATTTTATTTCCCACCATTTCCCAATTCACACTCTTAGACTTTAAAGCCCAATACTTGAAGTCTTTGAAGCCCAATGCTTAAAGTCCAACAAATTTCTTATTTGTGCGGTGAACTTGTATAGTGTTTGACTAAATTTTAAATAATTGACAAATGTTGGATATTTTTTAAATAGCCGCTTGTGTGGCTACTAGTGAAAATCGCCCAAAAATTGGTGAAAATAGCACGGGCTAGTTAGTATTCGGATTGGTAATTGAATAATAGCCGGCATTTACAAAGTCGTTAAAAAATAAATCACTATTTTGGCACGTTATGCTGGAATTTCATGTAAACAATTAGAACTCCAACATATTATGCTGGGATATTTCCGGATTTTAAGGGTATTTTTGTTCAGAGTGACAATTTCGAAACTTTTGAAAGTGTGAATGTTTTTCAATTATTAGTTGTAAATCTAGTTATTTCTGATTTTTCCCCAAAAATTGCGATGTTGCCATATTTAAGCCGTCTTGATCCAAAATTATTCCAGATTTAGAACTATAAGCACTCTACATCTTTCATGATGCAAATAGAAATAAACTACATGGACGAAAACTTAAAGAAAATTCAAAGAGGCAAGAAGATATTCGGTAATCATATATTAAAATTGGCATAAAATGCAGGTATAGCACTAAGGCATACTGGTATTGTTCATTCTCCATGTACTAAGATAGCCAGAGGCAAAACATCCTTTGATACAATGAAAACATAAAAGCATACCCTCTTTTAACAAGTTTGCCCCTCAGTTAACACCAATAAAAGCTCAATTCTTTCTAGAGATACAAAGCCTGCCACGGAAATCATCCTCCATAAGGGGAATACCATCGCGCAGTTTGATCGTTGGTTCCCAGCCTAGTAGTTCTTTCGCCTTTGTGATGTCTGGCTTTCTCTGGCGAGGATCGTCTGGTGTATTTTCCACTGTGATAATTTGCACTTCCGGATTGATAAGCTGCAAAACAAAGAATAATCCGCGTTAACACAATGTTAACGTGCCAAGTGAATACATAGTCGGAGTGCAAGTCCAGCAGATTATACCTCCTTCACGGTCTCAGCAAGTTCAAGCATTGTGAATTCACCTGATTGCAACAATATGAGTTGTTATTTTATAAGCTAATAAAATTAAAGGCATGGGTTTTTCAATCGGATACGCCAAGAAATGAAATAAACAGAAAGCTAACCTGGATTTCCGATGTTAATTGGTCCAGTATTATCTCCCTCCATAAGCCGAATAAGACCATCAACCTTCATTATCCAGAAAGGAAGGTAAGCAAAAAAGAGAAGACAGAATATGAACTGTAAAAAAAGTGATCCACAGACTGTAGTATACCATGTCGGAAACATAACAAAAGCTGCGAGTTTGTGTTCCGGGCAGCTGAACAGTCAAGGGTTCATCACTGTAAAATTGCACAAAAGATAGGGTTGGCCATTATTAACTCTCACAATACAATTAAATATCGAACAGTACGAGTAATAAATAGTGAGGTTCAGAAAATTACCGGATAGCCTGGGCAATGAAATTGCTAACAACGCGGCCATCATCAATATTCATTCTTGGACCATAAGTGTTGAAGATTCTAGCAATTCGTATTTCTGTATTTGATCCACCATCAAAGATGTAAAACAATGCTTCAGAATGCAAAAGTTCACGAAAAAAAAATCCAATAGATTTGAAGGAAAAGCAGTTGCGAGCACGTGGTCAGTCACAAACATATACATGTAGGAAGTGCTAATACCTATTCCATGCTGCCTGTGATAATCAAACATCAAAGTCTCAGCCACTCTTTTCCCCTCGTCATAACAACTCCTAACTCCTGAAATTAGCAAGCAACATTATTCAACAAATGCAACCAAAATCCGCTCCAATTCTTGTAAACTCAAAAATAGGCTATTTATGAAAGAAACAAGTCGTTTCTTTGTAGATATTCTCTCAGGCAAAAGAATTGTATGACCTTTTAATGAGTCATTTTCACTGACCAATGCTTTGTTTAGTGCCAAATCATCAACAACAACAACACCAAGAACAAACCCAATGCAGTCCCACAAGTGGGATCTGCGGAGGGTAGAGTGTACGCAGAATTTTACCCTGCCTTTAAAAAGGCAGAGACGCTGTTTCCGATAGACCGTCGACTCAGGAAGTAAAAAGGGGAAGGGCAATAACAAGCAAACCGACCTGACAACCGAAGTGAAAATACAAAACTAACACTAAGTAATGTAATCAGGAAACCGAAACAAAGGCAGCAACAAGTAATGATAGAAGTCTAGGGATAAGAAAATACACGAATGACACTAAGTGATGTATCAAAGCTACTGCACAATTTCAAAAAGCAGAAAATGCATACCGATCGGGTTGACGTTGCCCCAGTAGCTCTCATCTTGAGGGTGCACAAGTGGATCTCCATAAACCTCGGAAGTTGATGTCAGTAAAATCCTGTTTGCGCAATGGCAGTTAGATTAAAGGATTTACGTATAACAAAATGTTTTATTGATAACAGGAGTAGATTCAGACCTCGCCCCAACTCTCTTGGCAAGTCCCAACATGTTCAAAGTACCAATTACATTTGTCTTAATTGTCTGAAGATATCATAAAACATGTAAATCAACAGAGACATCATAACTAGTTTGAGAAAATATAGAAAAGATAGAAAATTTGCAATAGTCATGTCTTCTTTACTGACCTTAACAGGATTGTATTTGTAAAAAATTGGAGAAGCAGGGCAAGCAAGATGGTAAATTTGGTCAACTTCAATCAATAATGGCTCAGTAACATCTGCATATCATATAAGGAGAAGAGTATAAATTGATTCAGTAAAACAAAGATCTCATAATAATATGTATATTAGTCACAGATAGTCCAGAACAAGAATTTGGAGATATGATGAAAGGTAACAAAACCACGAACGTTGCATTACCATGCCGAATTAACTCAAATCTAGGATGACCAATCCATTGCTTTAGGTTATCCTTTGATCCAGTGAAGTAGTTATCCACAACAATCACCTAAGAATAATGCAATACAATTGTGTAAACAGTCATATTTAAAAGCTTGAAGGGGAGCTTTGGAGCAACGGTAAAGTTGTCTCCATATGACCTATAGGTCATGGGTTCAAGCTGTGGAAGCAGCCACTAATGCTAGCACTAGGGTAGGTTGTCTACATTACACCCCTTGGGTACAAACCCTTCCTCAGACCCTGCGTGAAGGCTGAATGCTTTGTGCACTAGGCTGACCTAGTCGTATTTAAAACCTTATCATTTATAATAGTATTCAGTGGTTGCAAAGCCAGGCCTAAAAGCATATACCTCGTTTTTCTCATTTTGCATCAGTCTGTCAACGAGGTGAGAGCCAATAAATCCAGCACCACCAGTCACCAAAATTCTCATGTTGGCCTGTAATCGGAAAGTTTACAGATAACAATCAGTAAAAACACAAGAAATATCAAGATAAAAGCAGAAAATTGAAAGAATGATCAACGAGATAAAGTATATACCTGGAAAAATTTTGCTTTTCGCAACGGCGATGGTTCTGGTGGTGGTTTTGCAGAAGCATGGTTGTCTCCATTGGAAGCCATTTCTAGATCACTTCAATTACTGAACCCAAAACCAAATCTAAAGTTCAAACGCAATAATTAAATAAGATTCAAGCAAACTATCGCAACTCTACAACAAAACCACCACATGACCACTGCTTATAGAGTGAAATTCATGCACAAAGAAAAATAAAAATATCAAAAGATAAATGTCATCATCTTTCCAATAGCCAATATATATCAATAATCAACTACATGAATCGTAATAAACCCTCTTTATTATTCGTTTTTTAGTCAACCATCCTGGCGTCCGAAACTCACTAGTCCGACTAATCCAGATTAACGCCACTAAAAGCCCGGCATGGGTATTATAGCTTTTTACCTAAGGCGGCTCCAGTTTCAGGCTCGAACAAGTAACCTCTGGTCAAAAAGGAGGAACCTTTAACATTCGGCCACAAACAAATCAATCACAATTTCTAACGGCAAGAAAAGTTTTTTTATAAATATTTTTGGCAGAAAATGAACAACACATTACGCACCAAAGGGCAACCCGATGCACAAACATCGGCGTTCAGCAGGGTCGGGGGAGGGCTGCACCCCAAAGGGTGTGCGCCCAAACAAGATTTGTGAGTGCTTCTCCGACGTAGACAACCTACCCTAATGCAAGCATTAGTGGCTGCTTCCACGGCTTGAACACATTACACACCCAAATCAAAACTCAACAACAGCGGAAAGTTTTTTCTTTTCCAGAGAATTAACAAACCCAAATTAAATATTCATCAACAGAAGATAAAAAGCTAACAACTTGATTCCATATATTTAGAAAAAAATACAATTTTGGATCACCTGATCGTCTACAATGCTAATAAAAACAGCCCTTAACACAAACAATTGCGAAATATGAGAAGCTTTTTTTTAATTATCAGAGGCTCAATGCATGAATTTGTAGAACAAAAATCATAAAGATTCAGAGCAAAGAACGTGAAAAGCACGTAATCAAGATCCATATCACACCAAACATGCCAACTAAATAAAGATGGCAGAAATAAATAACAAATCTTTGAACAAAAAAAGAGGGAAATCAAAGCTTCTGAGCTATTCTAAAAAGACCCCACATCAGATCTGACCTATATTTCACCAAAATCCACACAATTAATCAACACAATCAACAACAAAATTAATTTATATAATTGCAAAAGAATAAGAAAAATTACCTTTTTTTTTTTGTGAAATCTTTTTATAACAAAAGAACAGAGGACAATGATAATGCCAATGTAAAAGAGATATATAAACACGTAGAAATTGGGTAGATGGTGAGATGCTGTAAAATAATTGTTGGGTAGTAAAAAATCTGATTTTTTTTTGTTGAGAGGAAAAGTAATAAATGTTGGGTGGTGGAATTAATTGGATTTGAAGTGGAGGATTTGTTTTACTATATTATGATATGATTTATCCGCTACGTTGGATACATGTCAGTAGTTTAGACTAAATTGAATACGTTGTCTTCTCCAATCAGAACCAAACAACATTAGCTAACGTAGTATTCACTACTCTCACATATATGTCCGAAAGTAGTTTAACATCAGTACATCACTATTATTGTGTTTCAGAAATTTAAAAAGATCATGCCAATTTTTCGAAAATAAAAAATAAAAAATTCCAACTACGTATTAAGTGGGCGTTTGGACACAAGAATTGTGAAATTTAGAAAAAAGTGAAAAGACTTTCAAGTTGAAAATGATATTTGAAAATTAGAGTTGTGTTTGGACATGAATATAATTTAGAATTATTTTTAAAAATTTTGTGATTGATTTAAAGTGAAAATTTTAAAAATAGCTTTTTGGAGTTTTCCAAATTATGAAAAATTTCAAAATTCAACTTCAAGTGAAATTTTCAATTTTCATGGCCAAACACTAATTCCAAAATACAACGAATTTTTTCCATAGAAAAAGTGATTTTTTAATGGCCAAACGGGCCCTAAAAAAGAAAGTTTTTCGATCATTTGCAAATCCTGAATTATTTTTTGGTATTTGATCGGAAAACAGTTCTATAAAGTTTTAAAGAAAAAATTGGTTGAAAACATTATTCAAATCATTGAAGCAATGTATATTTTTAACCGATCCAAACAATATTAGCTAAAAAATATACTCCATATTTCTTGTGTGTATATATATTGGTTGAAAACATTATTCAAATCATTGAAGCAATGTATATTTTTAACCGCTTCAACAANTATATATATTATACTTTTTGGCTAATATATGCTATTAGTTTCAGCCAACCGGTCAATTTTGTATTTTGTCCAAAGTTTGATGGACAATTAAGGGCTTGCTTTTTTTGGCAACCATTCTTGTTAAAAGAGTTGGTTATGGTCCTTTTCTAAAGGAGCACATCAAGACTGCTTTGGGGACAAAATTCCATATGATTTTAGGAGAGTTGAAGTGAAATTAAATTGTTAGCCCAATGCTATGTTACACACCTATGTTTTTAATCGTATTTCATCTTTATTTTGAAGGATTCTTTGATAAATATGAACAAGTTTAGTTTAATATGTATGTATTTATTAGATGTAAGCAGTGTTTTAAAGGGCAGGAGCATGAGACGGGGTATTTTACTTAATATGAGGCGAGGCAAGAGCCCCGAGGCACCGCGCATAAACCCCATAGATCTTTAAATTTTTTTTATTTTAATTTATAGATTAATAAAATAGCATAATAACACAAAAAATATAAAAGGTACATTAAAATTAATAAGGATTAAAGAAACTTATAAAAAGAAAAGTATCTAGCATTTTTTTACAAATACAGATAATACAATAGTGTTAAAGTTAATATGAGATATAAATTAACCATACTTAACTTTCAATTAATTAAAAAAATATATTTCTTAAAAACTATTATCAAACAACACATTTTACCTCCATAAAAAGTAAATAATTAATACACTTCATCAATATTATAATTTAAAATATTATACCTTCATGATTAAATATAATATTACTTTCAAATTTCAGAGACGTTAAACTAAGACATGAAAACCATGGCTATTTATTTCCCAAAGAAATGTTCAAATGAGACTCACTCTCTTGATGTTCAATTATATAATATGCAATACTATGACTCGTTATTTGAGTAACTCTCTATTTTTATATTCCTACCGATGAAATTATTTTTATTATTCATTTGTTATAGAATTATGAGGGCGAACAATGCTAATTAGGAAATTTAACACATGATTTGTGTAAGAACTGTTAGGCGAACCCCGAGCGTGTTCAAGGCGCACAGTCTGACGCTTGAAGTGTAAGCCTCATAGAACTAAGCCCCGCATATAAGCGTTAGGGCGTTTTGATAGTACCTGCCAAAGGACGAGCCCCAAATGAATTCCAAAAAAGCCTTTTAAAACAAGTAATGTAAGAATCGAATACAAGCAAATTTTATCTTGTACTCATTGTTCCATTATGGTGGACTTAAATGCTAGTCCTTACATCTTTTGTCTCCTCTATCAGAGTTTGCATATGTTGATTGTGACATTGTGAGATCTTTACAAAAAGTACTTAATCTTAAAAAAAAAAAAATAGTTAGTCATCTATTGAACAAAAATGAATATTTTGAAAAATATTTTTATGCTTTTGATGTGTATTTTCGAACAATTTTTTTCTGTATCTTTGTCAAAATTTGGCCCCTTACTAAAATGCCTCTCTACTATATGAAATAGGACATCAAAACCCTACATTAAAAGTTGGCCCCTTATCTGCTCTTGCCGTCTAAAAATGGGCTCAAAAATGTCCTTCTCCACTAACGGGAGACTCTAAAATCCACGTGGAATTACATTTGCCTATTTAAAAATTCCAATCTTAATTTAAAATGACACACGGATTTAAAAATACCCCAACCCCTTATTATTTCCCTACTCCCTACCCCGGGCCCACCCCCAATCTTTACTTAATATAGCCGTTAGGTTAATTCCAATTACCAGACCATTTCCTTCCCCATTTTCATCCCAAAAGCTTCTCCCTCAAAAAAATTGACCTTCATTGATGTCTGATTTCTCCTACTAATTGGGTCACCTTGTCGATTTCGAGTTGGGTTCTATTTTAGGTTTAATTCTTTTTCATCTTTATCAGTTTGTTTTGGAGATTTCTCTAAAACAATGTCGCAAAGTTCGAGTAGCTTAAATGGGTCGATTAGGAGGTGTCGTTGTGGACTTGTTGCTAATTATTTCATGGCGGGGACTCCTTTAAATGCTGGAAGAAGATTTTTCAAGTGCCCTAAGCATGAGGTAAGTAAATTTGTTGATGGGTTCTTTTAATTATTTCGATTTGACTGTAATTTTTTTTTTTGGTTTTAGGATGAAAAATGTTCCTATTAGGAATGGCAAGACGAGGAGCTTCCTCTTAGAATTTCAAATCTCATATGCAGTTTAAAGAAGGAAAAAGAAGCTATAATTCGTGAAAGAAATGTACTCCAAAGGAAAGTTGTCGATCTTGAGAATGTTATGATGCTCGTCGATCATGAAGGAATAGAATCCTTGGAAGTGGAAAGAAATGTTCTAATGAAGAAGTGGTTGATTTAGAGTACTCAACTGTGCGTGATGCTAAATTTCGGAATAAGATGTGGATTTTCTTTTGTGTGATATTGAGATGTTTTGTTATATTCTTTGGATTAGGGGGAAATGATATATAATGTTAGTGTTATTGTGACTTAATTGTTGTGTTTTATTATGTAATGAAATTTTATGTTTTTATGCAAGGATTTAATGAACCCACTCCCATTCATTTGAATGTTTGTGTCTATGATTGAGTTACTTGCTCTGATAATTAGTTTGTGTCTATGATTGAGTTACTTGCTGTGATAATTAGTTTGTTGGTCTCAAATAGGTGTGTGAGTAAACTGATATGGTGTGAAGTGTTTGAGAATTGACTACTATAACTGACTCGTATATGACCCTGTACAATCCAAAAAGGGTCTAAAATGCCCTCACATATACCTGTTAGACTAGATTCAAACAAGATTTACAGAAGAAAGAGGCGATTAACCAAGCACAAATAGTCATCAACTAGTCATTCAAGGGATAATAGAAATCAACAGAGTTAACTAGTCATTCAATAAATATCAACATAAATGTCATTAACAAGTAGGTGGTTAACCAACCACAAGAACCATAATTGTGGTTGGTAACAAAGAAGGTTGTTCATCAACAAAACATAAGTTTAGAACCACCTACATCTAATGCCATCACATTCAAAATAATTTAAAAATCTGCAGATTTAATCTTCACATGGGTTCTTTCCTTTTCTTCCCATCATCTTAATATTCTTTCTCCTTTGTTGTTCAATGCCCCTATTTTATGTGTAGAGGGGCATTGTATTTCCTTTTATAACAAATATGGTTAATTATTTGTTATGTAGCATCAAGTGGCTGTAGTTTAGTGGTGAGAATTCCACGTTGTGGCCGTGGAGACCTGGGCTCGAATCCCAGCAGCCACATTTATTTTTCCTTTTTTTTTTTTTGCCCAAAATCAGATCTGATTTGATTATGTTTACCTCTGTGTTTAACTCAAGTTTAATCACATTAGTTAGTGCCCCATCTGTATTTATGTATAACTCCTTTTTCTCTCTCTCTCCGTCCGAACACAAGGTGGATCTCATTCGACGTCTTATTCAAACAAAGGTACAGATCTCCATCTGTTCAATTTTTACACACACACTCTCTTGTTTGATGTTTACACATCTGTGACTGTGTATTCATTTGAATATATACAGATCTGAATTTTGTTGTCTGTTATTTCTGGTTTCGTTTTTCCATTGATTTTGATTTTGTTTGTTTCTTCAAAAAATGGGGTTTTGATCGGTGAAAGTGGTACCCATTTCTGATCTTCCTTTGTCGCTTTCGATGATAGTAGAAATGTTGTACATAAATAAATGACGGAAAATTGGAGAAGATGGTAACAATGTGATCACATAGCGGAGTGGATATCGCGTTAGACTCCGAATCTAAAGGTCGTGGGTTCGAATCCCACTGTGATCACTACTTATATTTTGCACCTTTTTTTTTTTTGGTTTCATATTTTGTGTTTGTACTTATTGGGATATAAGCCTGAGGTGACCAAGAATCCGAGCAGAAACAAAACACACTAGTTGATTTCTTCGCTTATGTTACCCAATACCTGCTGGTGGGAGGTGGCAGGTATCGGTGGAATAGTCGAGAGGCGCACAAACTTGCTCGGACACCACCATTGTCCAAAAAAAGAGCTCGAGGTGATCAGTTTGGGAGGCATTAATATCTGCTTCCTCTGCATATACTTAATAGTTATGAACTTGGTGCAACTGCTAAGTAATTTTTGTTTTGATTGGGCATTTTACTGGATTATGGGCAAATTATGCCACCAAAGATATTTCTATTGGAAATGCAGGCTGGTTTTCACTGGTTTGATGGTTTACAACAACAATATATCCAGTATAATCCCACAAGCGGGATTTAGGGCGGGTAGTGTGTACACAGACCATATCCCTATCTTGTGGAGGTAGAGAGACTGTTTCCGACGACGATTGATGGTTTTATTCCTGTAAACTTTTGCCTTGGCACAAGAGATGGTTGTGTAGTTGATATGAGTTTAATTTTTCATTTTTTTCATTGCATTGGTTTTGGGAGTTTGTTTAGCAAAAGTCTCCCTTTACCAATCTAGGGGAAGTACTTGAAAGTCTCAAGGGTATTAGTTAAGCAATTGAAAGAAGAAGAACTGCACCTTAAAATTTTATAGTAAGCATAGATTTGTATGGGTGTTTACCATGATGTTAGGTTTGATTTAAGCATTCTTTATAAAAATGTTAGGTTGTAACAGTTTGGCTAACTGGGTAGATGCGTTCACCATTAGGTACATTGAGACACAGAATTTTAAGGTATCGAAGTGGTTTTAAATTGTCAACAAGTGTAAGGAGCGCTTGTAGAGCTTTAGTATTTTGAGCTAAACAAGTGAATGCTGTCCTCATGATAGGTACCTAACTTGCGCAATGGAGCTTTGCTCTAGTGGTAAAGAGAAAGACCGCTACCTTGAGGTTGTGGTTCTTAATTATTGAGAAAAGAGGTAATTCATAACTATTTTGCGGAATTGGATAACTCTAAATTGTCATTGATCACTGGTGTGTAAAGTGTAACTAAATATTTTTAGGAAGAACTTTGTCTTAATATTTTTAGGAAGTGTAGATTTGTGTGGGTGTTGACCGTGACGTTAGGTTCGCGAATTTAATTTAAGCATTCTCTATAGAAGTGTTAGCATTAGGGTAGGCTATCTACATCACACCCCTCGGGGTGCCGAGTTGCGGGATGCTTTATGCTCCGAATTGCCTTCATTTTTCTTTCTGTAGAAGTCTTAGGTTGTGGCAGTTGGATTGATGCCTGACTGTGGTAGATCATTAGGTATGTTGAGACACAGAATTTTAAGGTATCGAATGGTTTAGATTGTCGACATGTGTAAGGGAGCTGTTGTAGAGCTTTGGAGTTTTAAACAAGTGAATGCTGTGCATATAGGTACCTAACTTGGTCGGTGAGGCTTTGATCTAGTGCTAAGGAGGAGGACCAATACCTTGGGTTTGTGTTTCTTAATTCTTTTAAAAAATGAAAGGTAGTATCATAAGTTCATATCTCATTCCAGAAAATGGATAACTCTAAAATAATTTGGCTTTGTAATCCTCTGTGATAGTCAGTAACTTGTGCTCTCATCAGTGCATTGGATGTACATAGTGAGAGCAATGAGATCACTGCCCGAGTCAGGGTTAAGTTTAAAAGAGAATATGCACAAAAGCGAGATGTCTCCCCAAAACAATGAAAGTAGGGTGTAAAACAAATCAATTGAAATCATTTTCCAACAAATGAGATAAAATAACTATGTAGCAATAGGAATAAGAAAGGGATCTTTGCTTGTTCAAATCCATTTTGCACTAAATAATAAGAAAGATGTTATTTCGCCAAGTGCTTGTCCTCAAAAGAGAAATAAAAAGATATAGTCCAGTTTGCACAGACATAGGTTGAAGTTCTTATAGTTTTGTGCTATACCAATACTCTGGTTCCAAAAAGAATTGAATGTCGATTGTTTCATGATAATATTTTAGTCACTTTACATGGTTACCTTGAAAAGATACAGGGACTGATGAAAAGTAAAAGGTTATTTCAGGAAATTAACTATTGTGTTTAACACACTTGCTTTCTTATATGGACTTTCACTTCAATTAGCATCTATTAGTTCAGTATTATTCATTCTTGTGGTTTTGGAAGGAATTATGTCCCTTGTTTTATTTCTGATCTAGTTTCCGGGAACCAGAGAAGGGATGCCTTGGAGCAACGGTAAAGTTGTCTCCGTGTGACCTATAGGTCTCGTCGTAGAAACAGCCACTAATGCTTGCATTAGGTTACGTTGCCTACATCACACCCTTGGGGTGTGGCCATTTCCCGGACCCTGCGTGAACGCGTGCTGCTGTGTCCTTTCCGGAAGCCAGTCATTGCAAAGTTGTTGTAAATCTAACTTGTGTAACTCAATGTAATAGTTTTCATTTTGTCCTAAGTATTGGCGCTTCAATTTCCTCTTGCAGATAATGGATGATCAAGATTTGGGATTCTTTGCTAACTTTGTTGGCATCTTTATTTTTGTATTTGTTATTGCTTATCATTATGTAGTGGCTGATCCTAAGTACTCAAGCAACTAACTGATGCCAAGCATACAGTTATTTTCCTGGTCTCGTCGAGTCAGAGCTTTTACTTGCCTCTCCCAATTTGTGAATCTCACAGCACTTAGTCTAATGCAAATATGAAGAATTTGTGGTGATAGTTGAGTCTGTACCTAGAGCGTTAAAGCTTGAAGATGCAAAGTTATGTTTAGCAGTAAGTTTTTACTTTGGGTCCCTGAGATCTAGAGGAAATGTGTTTAAACAGTGGAAGGGTAAAAGAAAAAGATCAAGATTAACTTTGTTAAGGAACAGCTCTTCAATCCTTAATATTCGAACAGTAATATTTGTAGTAATTGTTTTTTTGGTTGCCTACATTTTTTGTTTTTGTATTGCTTAGGTCTTAAAAGAGGGGATATTCTTTAGAGAACAGCTTTTCTTCTTTAAACAATTGCTCGAATGTACTTAGAGTTTGGTTCTCCTACGTAGCAAAGCCTTTCACTAGGGGTGCCAAACGGGCTGGTCGTGTTGAATATGAGCGGGTCGAAAATGGATAATACAAAATAAATAAATTATCCGACCGACCCATATTTAATAAGGGACCAGACCATTGAACTTTTCTCTTTTCTTTACTCATCTTTAGTAACCACCAACACTATACGTACATCTTTTGTAAGAGTAGTGTCAGGGTCAGTTTGAGTATACTTTGATTACTCCATAGTATTTTTAATCAGGCCTGTCTATCCACTGAGATTTAGATAGGTAAGATGAAATTGCGTAGATTTGTTTGTTGTTGCTTTTGCCTCTTTTGGTATTTAAAGCAACGTCATATCCTTAGATGCCAACACTAATAACATAATTGTCTCCTATTACCATTACAAAAACGATACTCCTATAATAGTTTTCTTGATAAGGAGCAAAGAATAACTTTACATTTTACTCAAAGAATAACAAGCAAATATCAGATAATGTAAAGGGGAAAAGTTAATTTAAAAAATCAATTTATTTTACATTTTTCTTTAATTTTCTCCACCACCCCACCCTTGCAACCCCCTCTGTCTTACACATGAAATCGAGAGCCATTGATAATAAAACTTACAACCCGGAAACCCGACAAGAGAGAAGAAAAACCCAAGAACATAAACCCGGCGAATCCAAAGGCTATTGAAATATCAGATTGCACACAGAATGCATTGTTGACCTTACACGTGTCCATATCCCTCATCGTCCGAGCCAACGACGTTCCGGCCGAATCCGCCGATAGTAATAGGTACGCAAAAACCTACGCAAAAAATGATCGAAGACAATATTAGAGGTGTCAAATGTGCGAATTGAGTTGACCTGAATCAGGTTAAAATGACCGAGTTAATCGCCCAAAAATTATTTGGATTGAGATAGGCTGAACCAGATGAGCGAAAAACTGAGTTAGAGCCTAACCCGTCCCGCCCTTAACAAATTTTTATTATTTTTATTTTTATTTATAAAATATCAAAACTAGAAAAAAAGCTTATTTAAATATATTTTGATAAAGTTTCTCGTGAATCGATTTAAATAATATATTTAGGCCCCGTTTGTTCCTTTTTTTTTTTTTTTTTGTAGTTTTTTCAAAATGTGTTTGTCCATCAAATTTTTTGAGTTTTTTTTAAAAAAATTAAGTTTTTAAAAATTTCGAAAATGAGTTTTTCAAAAAAATTTAGAAAAACTTTTTCCGCTCACAAAACTCTGCAATATTTTTTAAATAAAATGAATGTCCAACCATAATTTCAAATTTCAAATAGTACTATTTTTTAAGTTAACTTCAAATATGACTTTTTTTTAAAAATTACAATGGTCATGTTCAACCGCCTACTTAGTTCAAAGCAGTCCAACTTTTAAATGAACTGAATTTGAACGGATTAAAATGAACTGAGTTTACGAACCTGGTCGTGGCCGAAATCGAACCAAACTTGGAGCGGTTCAGGGAACACAGTGGCGCCTCTTGAAATCTCCCAAACGGATGCTCCTACTTCGAACAGTGAATATAATGCAACAATTCCACCGGCAACAGCCACAAACCTTTACATAAAATAAAAAGCTTTTAAAAAAATTAAATATCCCAGCAAATTCGAATTCCAGAGTACTAAAACGGAAACGACGCCATTTTATCAATATTTCAAAATTTTCAGCAAAAATTCCATCAATTTTCAGCTCCAGAGTACTAAATCGTCGCGCTTTATCAGTTTGTTTATAAGATATATTATGATTTCAATTTGCCGTTCAATGGAGTGAAAAGAGTTTACTAAAAGCAAAACTGAAATAAAAAATTAAAAAATCAGCAAATTTGAGCTCCGGAGTAATAAAACGACGCCATTTTATCAGTATTTCAAAATTTTCAGCTAATCTGAAGGGATGTAATAAAACGCCGTTCAACCGACTGAAAAGAGTTAATTAAAAGCAAAAATAATATAATAATATATACTATAAAAATACCAGCAAATTTGAACAACGAAATACTGAAACGACGTCATTTTATCAGCATTTCAAAAATTTCAGCAAAAAATCCATCAAATTCCAACTCCGGAGTGTTAAAAAATCGTCGTGTTTTAACATTTTGCTTTCTGTGCGATGTCAATTTCCAGTTTAATCGAACGAAAAAATGCATCAAATTTCAACTCCCGCAATTAAAAACGATGTCGTATTATCAAAAGGCTTTGTAGTTACCTGAAGGCGTCGAAGTGGTGCCACTGAGGAAAATCTGAGCCGCCGCGGCGAGAATTAGTAAACATGAAGATAGTAGAGGCAAGAGAGAAGCAGAAGGAAGCAAATCGGAAGACGATAATCAAAATGTTGAAACGCCGGAGCTTGTGTACAGACACGGTGGAGTGAAAGTGTGACGGCGACGGCGTATCAACGACGCCGTTTCGTACCTGAGGTGACCTCATCATCTTTTTTCTTTATCCTTTATTTATCTTCTCTCTAGCCAGAGACAGCGAAATAACGGTGCATTGATAAATAACAGGAAGAAATGGTAAAGTTAGAAGCTTTTAGTGTTGTGTTTCAATGGAGGAGTAGGGTTTTGAGTTGGGAGTTTGAAGTCACGGGAAATGAGATGATTCCCATGAAAGGATAGAAAGACAGAGAAAAAGAGAGGAATATGTCTGTAAAAAGATAGAAAGGAAATTGTAAGGAAGGTGACAAAAGGGGCAACAGAACAAGAGGAATATTGCCTGTAAATTTGAAATGAACTTATTTTATATTTGGTTGAGATAAAATAGTGGTATAACTTATCTCGGATTAGTTATCTTGGCATTGTAGTATTTTTTATCCCTATGAAAATTCTAGAATAATTAATTCCGGAATAACTTAATTCTCAACCAAACGACCCCTTAATTCTGTGACACAAGGTAAAATCTCAATAGGATAACTTCCTCCTAATCGTTGTAACCAAACGAACCCTTAATATTTAATTACATAATTCGGTGTAAAACTTAGATGCATTATTCGTAACCTTTTACTAATTCGGTAACTGATGGGCTAGGTAAGACAAGTCTCATTTTAAATGACATGCGCTTCTGACTTATACTATTTCTTCGCGTGCTGCGAGAGATGTCGTTGGATTTATTTTTTTTGGTACAAAAGATAATATTTATATATATTTAAGTACTGCGTACAGAGAGTGGCTGGTATAGCCTTCCATTACAAGTGGCTTTAGTGCCATACTGTAATAAGCTACTACTAGACGAAGCTACATTAGTACTACTATGTATTAAGCTACTACTAAAGGAAGCTACATTAATACTACTACTACCATTAACATGCAGCATATTGTTTACATAGGAACTGCTAATAGAGCCATGTGTTGTTTTGCTTATATTTACATCCAAAAAGTGCTTCTTATCAGCTTCCAAAGCTTGGTTCACAAAAAGTGGTGCCACAGGATAGACATACGGATCACAAGTATGAACAAAACATTTGGCTGCCTTTGCTAGGTGGTCTGCTACAACATTCTGCTCTCTGTACGCATGTTGGACAGACGGATTATTAAGTTGGTGGAGGAGGTACCTGCAGTCATTTAGCATATTGGCAAATGGAAGGTTGTCAGTTTGCAACCATGTAATAATATGTTGAGCATCTAACTCAACTTCAATAGGTATTAAATTATGTTGTAAGACCAAGTTAAATCCTGTAATTAAAGCATATAACTCCGTTGATAGCGTCGATCCCTTGTGGATAGCTTGTGCAAACCCTAGTATCCATTCACCCTTTGAATCTCGAATTGATCCTCCAATTCCACTTGCATTTGTGCCATTGGCTTTAACTTATAATTGTTTTGCACAGGAGGTTGCCATCCAAGGTTAGGCAAACACTTTTTCTTAGATTTATGATAATAGACTGTCAAATAAGCATACTTAGTAGCTTGGTAGGTTGTTATGGAAACATTAACTCTTTCCTTTAATAAATTAAAATTATTCTTGTTACGAGAATGTTCCACAAGCTTATAGGCAAGTATGTTTTGGGGCTTAAATTATAAGGGAGGATTAAATTCTTAGAGCTAATAAGAGTATATAATCAATTCTTAGTCCCTTGGATGGTGCATATATATATCAGTAGATTTTTAAGTCCTAATTCCTTCCAGTATGCAGTAGCATTTTCGCAAAGAAGGAAGATATGCCTAATATTTTCTTCAACATTTTGGCAGTAAGTGCAAGTGTTGTTTTGAATTAAATGAATATTGGTGAGATAAGCTTTGGTGGGTAATCTATCATGGTATAACAACCATAGAAAAGCTTTTATCTTGGGTAAGATTGGTAGCTTCCATATCCATGAAAAGTTAGAGGGAGGTGTTGGTGAAGTTGTGAATTTGTCTACCAAATTATGGTACATAGAGCGAGATGTAAAAGTACCCGTTTGTGTTAATCCCCAGTATGGGATGTCCGGAGTTTTGTGAAGTTGAGAAATATAAATTTGCTGTATTGGTTGTGTGATATCCTTTGGTAATTCAAAAGGCATTGCCTTCCAATCCTAACCAGCATTATTTAGGAAAGAAGATACTTTGATGTTATCTTGATTTAGAGGAAGTGGTCCTTGGATTAAGGAACGAATTGTAATTCTAGGATTTAACCAAGGATCATTCCAGAAATTAATGTGTTGGCCTGTTTCAATTTTCTATTTTAACCTATTTTGGCATTGTTCCCATCCTTTTAAAATATTAGACCAAATCCTAGAGTATTTAAAGCCCTTCTTTCTAGTCAAATACTTATTAAGGAGTACCTGAGCCCATAAAGTGTTAGGTGATTTAAATACTCTCCAAGCTAAATTAGCAAGGAGTGATGAATTTTTTATGTCAAGCTTTTGAATTCCTAAGCCTCCTAAATCTTTTGAAGTAGTGATGATATCCCATTTTAGAAGGGGAATTCTTTTCCCCAGAGGAAATTCCGCTGGTATTGATTCATTTTAGCAATAATTGTAGGTGGAATGTTAATATATTGCATAATATGGTTAGGTAAGTTATTTAAAGTTGATTTTATAAGCGTAGCTCTGCCTGCTATTGTTAGGAACTTAGTTTTCCAGCCTGCAAGTCTATTTTTAAAATTATCTAGCAGGAATTGGAAATTCTCCTTTTTTGGTTTCCCTTGGAACATTGGAAAACCTAAATATTTTCCAAATGATATGCCCTCTTTAATACTAAAGGAGTCCGTAACAAATTGTTTATCTACCTGCTTGCAATTTTTGGAGAAGTAAATCTTCGATTTGTCAAAGTTAATTTGTTGTCCTGAATGATGCATGAATTGGTTTAATACATCAACCACTGCATAACAACTTTTAGTAGTGACTTTTGAGAATAAGATAATGTCATCTGCAAAGAATAAATGTGAAAGTGTTGGTCCTTGTTTAGAGACCTTGATAGTTTGCCATTGGAGATATTCTATACCTCTTGAAATATTATGCGATAACATTTCCATACACATTATAAATAAGTATGACGATAAAGGATCTCCTTGCCTTATTCCTCTAGTAGGTGTAAAATAATGAGTTCTGGATCCATTAATGATGATTGATATGGAAGATGTAGTGATGCATGACATAATTAAAGAAACAATAGGTTCTGAAATATTAAAATAGTGAAGAGTTTGTTTGATGAAAGACCATTCCAGTCGATCAAACGCCTTTTCTAAATCCAACTTTAGGATCATGGCAGAAGACTTACCTTGCATTTTTGTAAGATAATTTAGAGTTTCTTGAACTATTATGGCATTATCAGAAGCCCTTTTTCCTTGTTAAAACTTGTTTGTGTAGGTCCAATTATTTTATTGACAATAGGTTTAAGACGATTAACAATAATTTTAGTTATAAGCTTATATAGAGTATTGCAAAGACTAATGGGACGAAATTGCTGTATTATAGATGGATACTTTATTTTTGGTATTAAACAGACTAGTGTTTTATTCAATTCTTCAGGAATAACATTAGTGATGAAAATTTCTTCACAAAAATAAATAACCTTACTTCTAACTTATGCCCAGTATCTTTGATAAAAGAACGGGTGCAAACCATCCGGACCTGGGAATTTATAAGGTTTAAAGCTAAACATAGCTTCCTTTATCTCCTCATGGCTAATTGGGGCACTAACCAATTGAATGTCAGTATAAGACATGTTCCAAGTACTAGGGTTCCAATGAGAATTAGCCGTACTTATATCTTTAGTGTTGAACAAAGATTTATAGTATTGTAGGATAAAATTATGTAGCTAGGATGGTTCATCAACCCAATTTCCAACTGCGTCCTTTAAAGCAGTAATTCTATTCCTATGTCTCATATGTAGAGTAGACATATGAAAAAACTTAGTATTAGCATCTCCATCATTTATCCAATTAATGCGGGATTTTAATTTCCAAAATTCTTCTTCAACACGTAAGAGGTTACTATAGTCTAAATTGAGTTGTATTTCCAAGTTTTGAAGGAATTGACTTGTAGGATAATGAACTGATGCCTGTATACCTCCTAGTCTAGCTAAAATTTTCCTTTTTTCTTGGAATATGTTACCAAAAGTTTGCTTATTCCATCTAGTTGCTACTACCTGAAAATTATGAATAGTTTCAAACAAAAGTTGTTCGTCAGACCAAATATTATGAACTAATTGTTGAAAATGTGGGTGTGAAGCCCTCATAGTTTCAAAGCGAAAAATATTATGATGTATTGTTGTTGGGGGTTCTAAAGTAATTAAAAGAGGGCAGTGATCGGAATGAGTACGAGGTAGATGATTAACTAGAACTTCAGGATATAGGTTCAACCAATCATAGTTAGCCAAAAACGATCAAGTCGCTCTAGGATTGTGTACCCATGTCTACGTTTATTAGTCCAAGTATATCTACTACCTTGAAATCCTAAATCAACTAACTTGCAAGTGTTAATAAAATTGCCAAAGTTATCAGTTCTTCGATTATTAATGGGAAGTCCACCAAACTTTTCTTTTGATTCTAAAATTTCATTAAAATCACCCCCAATTAGCCAAGGCATAGAAACAATGTTATGCAAATTCAGTAGATTATACCACAGTATATCACGTAGTTGATAATAAGGGCTAGCATATATTGCAGATAAAAGTCAAGGTTGTTTATTTGTACTTACCTGGACCACACAATGGATCTCTTGCTGAGAAAGCCTCATTTCAGTAACATTGATACTAGCTTCATTCCATAAAACAAGTAATCCACCTACGAGACCATTAGATGACACTTGTGACATATTAGTAAAATTAAAGTCATCACGAAGCCTAGTGTGATCTTGCATGTGAGTTTCTAGTAGAATGGCTAACACTGGCCTGTGATTATCTAAGAGAGATCGAAAATGCCTATGAAACTCAAGATTGTGTGACCCCCTACAATTCCATACTAGGAAATTCATATAAGAGTTAGGAGAGGTTATCTCCCTCATGGGAGGTGGAACCATCAGACTGACTGCCTGAGTCATCATCTGACCTAGACTTAGAGAAGGAGTGAGCTGAAGTAGTGTGGGGATGATCACCATCGCATATTTGCCTATTTCTGGATTTGTTGTTTGACGAAAATTTAGACTGCATTCAATCATTTCTGGGGGGCATTTGAGAATGATTTTTTTCCGAACTGTTCTTTTAGGTTGTAAAATTGAATTCCCTTCAGCCACCAAAACTCCGTCCTCGTTGCCCTCATTTCTGCTAGTATCTCTGCTAATTCTTGCCTTGTTCGAGTATCTAGTGCGGGAGGAGATTGAGGAGGGGTATCTTGTGGACTCTCCTGTGGTGTAAGGTTCTCCAAGGGACTCAGTGGGCTCACATAGGGAGAAAGAGGGTTGAATGTGTCTAGTGCCTGAAACCAAGAGACATAGATTTGCCCCATGTGATGAGGAGGGTAGAATGGAAGAAGTTGGAAGTTCTGATTTCCTAATGGATTCAGAGGAGTTGGAGGGTACTGCCAGTGTGCTTATGTTGAGGAGGATGCCTGGATCTCTAAGAACAATGGGGTCTGAGTCGAGTACCATTGGTTTTGGTTGTAAGACTCCATTCCTATCCTCATTCCCTCTATCACTATCTCCGCTAGGTGAGTGGGATTTTGAATTAGCAACACAACTTCCTGGTTGTTTAACTCCATTGTGAATACTAGGGCATAACCCTGCAGACCCATCTCCAGCCAGGATTGAAGGGGCTGATCCATAGACATCTGTTGAGATGTGTAGATCATCAGTATGGAGATGTGTGGAACCTGGGGGCCCTGCATGATCAACCTTGGTAGATGGAAAAAGTGATTGTTCACCTGCATGTTCTCCCTGAAGTATTGGTTTCGACTATCGTTGATGAAAGTTGGCCTCTGCATTTTGTGTGGTCTCAGAGGAGGGAAGCAATGGTGTTGTATTTGTTAAAGGGTCTGTATTATTATTATCAAAAAGCTTAAGAGGCGGAACTATCCATGAAGACTTTAATGGGATAGAATGAGTAAGAATGGGTGAATCACATGGATAATAATCATTATGTTTGCATGGATCAGCTTCATTGCTATCCCGAATTATTGTGGCATGCAAATTACTTGAAGAGTTATTGGGTAATGAGGAGGACGTGTCTAAGGGTGTGATAACTAGATGTAATAAACCATTTAGTGATAGGTTCATATGAGGAGGTGGAGTGTTACGTGGAAAATCCATCCTATGTGGATTCTGTTGCTGAGGAAACGTGGTACAGTTCTGAGAAAGATTTATAGGCTTAGGTTGTGTATCAGATAAGGTAGAACTGGGTTGAGTAATTTTTTGATTGGGTAAAAAGGGGGGCTGTAATAATGAAGTGTTGGAATGGTGTAAAGTGGTCTCAGTTTGCATTGTTACTACTTTATTAAGTGAACCAACTTGGTTAGGATTACTATTCAGTGGGCTTGAGTCCATATGATCAGCATGTGGTCCATATTGCCCAATAAGAGGACTAAACATATTAGACAAATCCTTATTGGGCTTAGACAGCTCATCTTCGTTTAACAGAAAGGAGGAGCCCAAAGATGGGCCTTTAGGGTTTGAGGACTTACCTGGTAGCAGATATGCCGACGTTTGTTCCAGCGGCGGAGTATTGGTGGGGCTGTTATTCTGTCGTTGTTTATATGAAGAGTTGAATCTTTTTGGAAAAACAACTGTTTTCCACTCTGGTTCAGGTTTGGCAGAAGTGGATGGTTGATTTGTTATAGGATTTTGTATAGTTTGGTTAGGAGTTGGACAGTTCTGAATTATATGACCTAGATGGACGCAACTAGTGCAGAGTATGTTGATACCTTCGTATAGGAGGATTTGCTGTGATTTCCTATGTTTATGTGTGTTTTGAGGGGTCGCTCCAAGGGTACTTTAATGCAAATACGTGCATAGCGTCCTCTTGTAGTTGTTGAAGTATATGTATCAATCTTTAAGAGATGTCCTAATTTAGATCCAACTCATTATAATATCTCTACATCATAAAATTCCGTTAGTAGCTCAGGGAGCCTTACCCAGATTGCCGAGTAGGTTAGCTGTGTGGATGGTTCAATAAACTTGGGTTCCCACCTACGTACTGATAAGAAGTGATTTAGAATAAACCACGGACCTCCCTGTAGAGCTTTTAGCATGTTGTCTTCCTGTTGAAATTTGATAAGGAAGAAATCTGACCCTAGGTCAATAATAGAGAGTTCTTCTGTGGGTTTCCAGATTTCTATGAGCTTGGTCTTTAGTAGATGGTGTGCAATTCTTCGTCTAAAAAGCTTAATAATTACTGAGTATTTCCAAAGTTCATATAAACGCGCCTTATCAGTAGTTGAAATTGGTATGAAAGTATCATCCTCATCTGTGTCTTGGATGAATTCATCAGATAGGTCAGGCTTAGATAGCGGTTGGTGATGGTTGCTGATAGATGTAGAGAGGTATTTGTTAGCAAGTAGTATTTGGAGGAAAGATACTGGTTTGTGGTTTATGAGTTTGTTATCTATTTGCATAGAAGTGAGGTCGGGTGGTTCTTCAAGTTGGTAATGGGATAAAAGGTTGTTGTTAGGAACATACATTTTTAGGAAATATGTTGTGGTTATACGTATCAGAAGATATGAATATTAGTGGAGTGTCTACGGTGGAAAGTTAAACGGAGGAGGAAGGAAGTTTAATTACATGAGAGCAACAACAACCCAGTAAAATCCCATTAATGGGGTATGGGGAGGGTAGTGTGTATGCAGACCTTACCCCTACCCCGAAGGGGTAGAGAGGCTGTTTCCGAAAGACCCTCGGCTCAAGAAAGCAAAAAGACAAAAAGGAGATAATATTAGTATCAACAAAGAAATCATATGAAAACAGGAACAACATAAACTTTAGAAGAAAGATGCAAAGCAAAAGCGATAGCTAGTAAATCGTTCCTGCGCTGAAAAGTGAAATAGTAAGACACAACATTGCCACTAACTATCCTACACAAAAACCCTACCAGACTGGTACCTAACCTACAACCCTAATACTAGATCTCCACATCTCCCTATCCAGTGTCATGCCCTCGGAAATCTGAAGCCTCGCCTTTTTCGGCCTGATCACCTTTCTCCAATACTTCTTAGGTCGCCCTCTACCTCTTCTCGTGCCCTCCACAACCAACTGCTCACATCTTCTAAATGGTGCATCTGGGCTTCTCCTCTGAACATGCCCGAACCATCTGAGTCTCGCTCCCTGCATCTTGTCATCAATGGGAGCCATATGCACCTTCTCCTGAATATCATCATTCCTAATCTTATCCATTTTAGTATGCCCGCACATCCACCTCATCATCCTCATTTCTGCTACTTTCATCTTCTGGATATGTGAGTTCTTTACAGGCCAACACTCAGCCCCATACATCATGGTCGATCTAACAACCGCTTTATAGAACTTACCTTTGAGTAACGGTGGCACTCTCTTATCGTACAAGACTCTAGATGCTAACCTCCACTTCATCCATCCTACACCAATACGATGTGTAACATCCTCATCGATCTCCCTTACCCCTGGATAACCGACCCAAGGTACTTGAAGCTTCCTCTACTTGGGATGACCTGTGATTCAAGCCTCACATCCATGTCCACTTCCCTCAGCTCAGAGCTAAACTTACATTATAGGTATTCTGTCTTCGTCCTGCTTAGCTTGAAACCCTTAGACTCAAGAGCCTGTCTCCAAACCTCCAACCTATCGTTAACACCGGCTCGCGACTCATCAATTAAAACTATGTCATCGGCAAATAACATGCACCATGGCACCTCCCTTTGAATATGGTGTGTTAACGCGTCCAGCACCAGGGCGAACAAAAACGGACTGAGGGAAGAACCTTGGAGTAATCCCATTTCCACCGGAAAATGGTCAGAATCGCCACCTACTATCTTAACTCGAGTCTTTGCCCCAACATATATGTCCTTAATTGCCATAATGTAAGGGACCGACAAACCTTTTGCCTCCAAGCATCTCCAGAGAACTTCTCTAGGAACCTTGTCATACGCTTTCCCTAGGTTAATAAACACCATGTGCAGATCCTTCTTTTTCTCTCTGTACAGTTCCACCAACCGCCTAACAAGGTGTATAGCTTCCGTGGTTGAACGACCCGGCATGAACCCGAACTGGTTATCAGATACAGACACTATCATCCTCACCCTCGCTTCAACCACCTTCTCCCACACTTTCATGGTATGACTCAGTAACTTGATATCCCTATAATTGTTACAACTATGGATATCACCTTTGTTTTTATACAATGGAACTATCGTACTCCACCTCTACTCATCTGACATCTTCTTCTCCTTAAAAATAACATTAAACAACCCAGTCAACCACTCCAAACCTGCTCTCCCCACACACTTCCAAACCTGATCTCCCCACACACTTCCACACACTGCTCTCCCCACACACTTCCATTTTTATACAATGGAACTATCGTACTCCACCTCCACTCATCTGCCATCTTCTTCTCCTTAAAAATAACATTAAACAACCCAGTCAACCACTCCAAACCTGCTCTCCCCACACACTTCCAAAATTCCACAGGAATCTTGTCTGGCCCGGTTGCTCTGCCCCTACTCATCTTACACATAGCTCCTACAACCTCCTCAACCATGATACGCCTGCAGTACCTAGAGTCAAGGTGACTCTCGGAATGCTCAAAATCTCCTAGCGCAATAACCCGATCCCCTTCTTCGTTCAGGAGTTTCTGAAAGTAAGTCTGCCATCTCCTCTTAATCTGGGCATCTTCCATCAATACTCTACCATCTTCGTCCTTGATGCATCTCACTTGGTCCAAATCCCGAGCCTTCCTATCCCTCAATTTAGCCATCTGGAATAACTTCTTCTCCCCGCCTTTTCCCCCTAGTTCCTCATACATACGACCATACGCTGCGGTCTTAGCCTCCGTGACCGCCAGCTTAGCTTCCTTCCTGGCTACTTTATACCTCTCCATGCAAGCTCGCCTCTCCTCCTCACCTATGCTCCCCACTAACTTCAGGTACGCCGCCTTCTTAGCTTCCACTTTACCTTGGACCATTTTATTCTACCACCAATATCCTTTGGGCCCACTAGAGATGCCCGTCGCGACCCCTAACACCTCCTCGCAGCCTCCCTTATACAGTCTGCTGTCACGGACCACCTAGAGCTCGCGTCGCCACGTCTCCTCTAGGCTCCCTTAGCCGACAACCGCCCCTCCAGCTCTTGGGCTTTATCCTTAGTTAAGGCTCCCCACCTGATTCTTGGTCTTCCTCGAGCAGACCTTTTCCTCCTCTTTAACATAATACCCACGTCCATCACCAAAAGCCTATGTTGCATCGCGAGTAACTCGCCCGGAATCACCTTGCAATCCTTACACAGACCTCTGTCATACCTCTTGAGGAGGAAATAATCAATCTGAGTCTTCGCCATTGTATTCTGAAAAGTAACCAAATGCTCATCCCTCTTCGGAAAGCTAGAGTTCACAATTACCAAACCAAATGCCTTAGCGAAGTCCAAAAGTGAGGTGCCTCCCCCGTTCCTCTCCCCAAAACCAAAGCCTCCATGCACTTCGCCATAACCACCAGAGATCGACCCAATATGACCATTGAAATCCCCTCCTATGAATATCTTCTCAGCAGGCGGAACCTGGCGCACAATCTCATCTATCCCTCCCAGAAGCGTCGTTTAACCTCCTCATCTAGGCCCACATGCGGCATATAGGCTCTAACGACATTTAGGATGTACTCACGAACCACCAACTTAATAGTCATCAATCTATCATTCACTCGTCTAACCTCAACTACAAAATCTCTAAGTTTCCTATCCACCAAGATACCTACTCCATTCTTACCTCTCTGGACTCTTGAGTACCAAAGTTTATACCCGTCTACGTCCCTCGCCCTCGACCCTACCCACCTTGTCTCCTGAACACAAGCTATATTGACCCTCCTCTTCTGGAGGATCTTCGCCAACTCTATAGACTTACCCGTCAATGTACCTACGTTTCATGACCTAATTCTCAACCTATAGATACCCTTGTTCCTTTTACCTCTATTGCCTCCCGTACGGCCCCTAACACCCGCCATACCCCACACCCCACCCCACGCCTTACCACACGCTCCTCCCGAGGACATGACCTCACTCGACCAATCCAAGCCACAACCACTATACCTACAATAGATTAAAGGAATCACTAGCACACACAAGGCAACAGACCCAACTAGGGAAAAAAAACAAGTTGCAACTACAGGAACACTAATACGGTGAATAACTAATACGAAGAAAGATGACAACAATTTATTTAGCCAACACAACAGAGATAAATAGCAAAATGAGAGGTACCAACTCCCGCTAGTAGAACCTGGGAATTTTCTCGGTATATACGAAGATGTTGCAGCCACCTAGCACGTTTGCGTCCAACTCCCGCTGCCCCTTGCTGACACTCGCTCGGGTTGTTCTTTAATGTTTGCACGCACACATTTCGTTCACCGTTAATAGCCACAGGTCCTAACATGAAATACACACAGAACACCACAAAGCCAAACAAAGGCAGGAGGGGATATCACCGCTACCACTGGTGAGGCCCACTCACAGCAAATGAGCGCAAAAAATGGGTGAAATAAAATCTAAAGTTGATTTACAAAACAGGGTGAAATAACACAAATAAAGGTTAATTTCCTTGAATTATCAAGTTAAAAATTCAATAAATTTGGTCAAGGCTTCCCAAGAAAATGGGGCGTAGATTTTTTGGCCTTTTCCGTTGAGATAACCAGAGAGGACCGGAAAAATATTTTTTTTTAAAAAACAAAAAATTATGGAATCGTAGATCTAAAAATTTAAAGCCTATGAGTCATGCAAAAAA